GGAGGTTCAGGCCCCTGACTCGGCCCAGCTGGTGCTTGTAGCAAGGGAACCTGTGCAGACTGGGGCTCTTCAGGATCAGGCCCCAGACTTGGTTCAGCTGCCGCCTGAGGCAAAGTATCTAGTGCGGACCGAGACTCCTCTGGCTCTGAGTCTGAGCCCGAGTCCCAGGCCATCACACCTGGTGCCTGTAGTGATGACCAACAACTTGATGGACTTTAAAAGGACATTAGACAAGTCCATGGAGGATACAGCTGCCAATGGCCACCAGTCATCATGGCTATGTGGTACCTCCAGTACCATTTGCTGGGGGATTATGGGTGTGAGTGTGCTATTGTGCACCCAACCTACTTGTCAGTTTTCCAGACATATCTGACTGGCCGTTCACTGTGAGACCAGAAGGATGAACTGGGTGAGACTTTGGACTGATACAGAAGGCCTCGTTTTATGTTCTTCTCCTTGAACCTGGTAAGTTATGCATACAAAGCACACGCTCCATCACTGACCAATGACCATTTCCCCAGGGAGGAATGGCGAGTGGGTGAGCACAAGGAGCTTTCCTCTTCGACATCAGCTGCAGTGGAAATTGAAAAGGAGAGAAATGGAACAAAGGCTAAGAATCAGTTTGGGAAGAAGTCTGGAAGAGACTGGGAAACCCTGTCATGAAGCCTTCAAGGCTAGATCCTGCAATATATGAGGTGAACAGGAACAGGGAACGGCACATTATGATGGGCAGTTGGAAAATCGTGAGCAGAACTAAGCAGAAAGCATCAGGAGGACCCAGAATAGGAAGTAGCTGATTAAAGGACCAGGAAGTCTCTTGCAGGAAATTTGCAACAGAAATCTCTTCCTTCCTCAATATATGAAGATCAGATTTGAAACAGAAAGGATATGCCCTGCCAAAATAAAGTACCCTTCTGAACAAAGTGTTTCTTTAAAAGCACAGGTGTGACTTTGACAACAGGATACCATGACGGGCATCTTCTACCATGGTCCCTGCGGAATGTGAAGCATCATCTATTGGTTGCTTCAGACACAGCATTTTGCCCAGACCCACAAGATCAGGCCCTGTTATTCCTCAGTTCCTGTTTTCACCTTTTTCAGTTCTTTTATCGTGCTGCTTGTTTTTATTACAAAGTTTCACTAGCTCTATGTTGTTTTTGTACAGCAAAGTCTCCGGGATTCTTTGGGGAAGCCACAACTGCTTAAAGTGGTGTGATACTGCTTTAAATATATACTGCGCATGGAGCCAAAGTGTCCATCATATCCTGGCTTTTTTAAAAAAAAATAATAACTGTTTTAGGATATGTGTAATGAGAAAACATGAGTTTGCCACTGATGATGATAGCTTCCTTCAAAGAGTTAGGGCATTGGCCACCACAAAAATCACTTGGGGAAGTCAGTGTTACTCCTTTATCCATCATTACTGACATGTTTCCTGTGCTAGTGACTCTGCAGACAGGTCTGTTATTGATGGACCTTTTCCAGTGGTCTCTTGCCATCACTTACGGCCTGTGTGTTTTTTTTTTTTCTTTCATTCTTTCAAGTGAAAAAACAAAACAAAACATTGGTTATCATTGGGGTGGGTGGAGAAGCCCTTTTGAAAGCCCATTTTTTGTGTGTGGAATGCCTTTAAACTACTGGAACAAGGCCGGAAATATGTGCAAGGCGTGACGGACACCCTAATCTATGTGTTCAACACGGAAATCTCACCAACATGTAATTACAAGTTGCTGAAAGATCTTAAATGTAGGAGAGGGAGAGGGGGAGAGAAAACAAAGTCCCTCATTGGGCGGAATTGCATTTCAGTGCACGGAGCCCAAATGACTGCATGAAAGTTTGAGCACTGGGTAGCCAGAGAGGTTGTTTGTTCTGCAAAACAGAAAACTTCACCATGTGCAGCTTTCCCCATCCCTGTCCATCACGGGCCTGATGGGAGAAACAGTACCAGATAAAAATTTCCCTTCTGTTTTATGCCTTAAGGTACATGAGGCCTCTTATGGCCTGGAATTTAATAGGAACATAACTGGTAGGAAATATGTCCTCCCAAGCAGCACTCTCCCTACTGGAACTGTTCTCTCTTTCTTTTTATCATTCCTGTCAATACCAAAGTTCTGGCTCACATGCCAATCATTATGTCCCCAAAACGGTACCATGCAGAAGAAAGAAAAGGGGTATCAGCAGGCTCAGGAGAACACCAAGGCTTGCAAACACGTGAGAGAGAGTGTGTTTGCGCGTGTGTACATGTGGAGCCTCCTTACATGGGGAAAAGGGAAAGTGAGAAGCAGCAGAGTTCAGATCTGGAACTGGGAGCTGCTCAGCCAAGCCTCAAGCCAGATCCAAAAGGGCAAAGGGAGGAAGATTGTACTGTCTGCTGGAAGAAGAGGAGGAAACAGGAAATGCAGGGGAATTGGAGCAAGGGCAGAGGGCAGAAAGGAAGTGAGGGGTCTGTTTGAAGGCACTTTTTCACTTCCATGCCCCTCCCCGTTTTGTTTTTTTCCTGGAGCTGGCACTACTTCCCACACCAACATCCTTCCTGTCTCCAAAGAGGTGAGGGCGGTCTGGAGCATAGCTGTCAACTTTCCCTTTTCTTGCGAGGAATCCTATTCAGAATAGGAATTTCCCTTAAAAGAGGGGAAATGTAGACAGCTATGGTCTGGAGAGCACAGTGGCGTAGCGTGGGGGGTGCAGGGGGTGCCGGCCGCACCGGGCGCAACATCTGGGGTTAGGGCAAATCCACAGGTTAGGGGGTGCAAATCCACGGGTTAGGGGGTGCAAATCCATGGGTTAGGGGGCGCAAATTACTTGCCTTGCCCCGGGTGCTGACAACCCACGCTACGCCACTGGGAGAGCAGCCACAGTGTGGGGTCCCTCCCACAAGGTCCAAGGCAAGCTTTGCCTCACATGATTCGACAAATAACAACATATTTCACATTACCACTCCCATCCTCAAGGTCTTTTCTCTGAAGTTAAGTCCTATTGATTTTGGTAGAGCGAACTTCTAAGTAAGCACACTAAAGATTACAGCCTTGTTCTGTTCTCCAGTATATATGGTTCAGCTGTACTTGAAATGTACTTGGGGAAAGTGGCTTCCCTTCAAGGAACCACCAGGGCAAACAGTCGGGTGAGGGGCTGGAGGGGGTGCAGTTCTTGTTGAAGGTGGAAGCAAATGCCCTTGCCATGTCCCAACTCTGGAACCCCTTATAAGGGGGAAGAGCCACAGTGGCTTTCCATCCAAGATGACTTCAGGCATATCACATTAGCCAATGATGCACAAAGGAACTGCTACAGTATTTCCCATGGCAGTGGCAGCTAAAGTCCATTGGGTCTGGTAGGGTGTAAGCCAGGAGGTCAACAGTAGGTGGCGCTAGAGTCAATGGCAGGCGGACCCAGGTACTTCTAGTACTACCCTCCTTCCTGGGCAACACAGAAACTAAGGACAAGGTAGGGGTGCCACCCCCTGGACTAGTTGTAAGGAAGGCTAATTCATGTTGATTATTTTGTATTTAATAATAACAACAACAACAAACAATTAGTATAAGTATTAGTATTAGTCAGTGCTTTTTTTCTAAAAAAATGTTTAGGGATATTCTCATTTTTCTACTCATATTGAAATACTGCCCCTCAATGAGGCCAACCTTAGATTCACAAAATGTTTAGGGGTATGCGTACCCCTGCACACACACCCTCGAAAAAAGCACTGGTATTCGTATTTATTACTTAAACCCTGCCCATCTGAGTTGGTTGCCCCAGTCACTCTGGGTGGTTTCTGACAGAATATAAGAAACACAGTGAAACATCAAACACTAAAAACCTCCCGATACAGGACTGCCTTCAGATGCCTTCTAAAAGTCAGATAGCTGTTTATTTCCTTGACATCTTCTAGGAGGACATTCCACTACCGAGCAGACCCTCTGCCTGGTCCATTGTAACCTCACTTCTCACAGGGAGGGAACCACCAGAAAGCCCTCTGAGCTGGACCTCAGTGTCCGGGCTGAGCGATGGGGGTGGAGATGCTCCTTTAGGGCCGAGGCCATTTAGGCCTTTAAAGGACAGCACCAACACATTGAATTGTGCTTGGAAACATACTTGGAGCCAATGTAGATCTTTTAGGACCGGAGTTACACAGTCCTGGTGGTCACTCCCAGTCATCAGTCTGGATTAGGTAATTGTATTTTCTGAGTCACCTTCAAAGGTAGCCCCATGTAGAGAGCATTGCAGTAGTTCAAGCAGGAGATAAACAGAGTATGTGCCACTCTGACAAGAGGTTTTTAAATGTTGTAAACTGCCTTGGGAGAAAGGCAGGATATAAACTCAATAAAAAAAAAAAGTCTTGTGAGGACTATTTGTCTTCACATGCGAATGGTGTATCATGAGAAAATGGAAACAAGCAGTTTGAACAATCCAAGTGCACCATTTGTGCACCTTGAGTTTTTTATGTTCAAATTACAGACTTGTGAGATGCAAAGAGTGCTTTTAGCACATGGAAATGGGCTAAGTCCTTCACTGTGCCTTCCCCTATGCATAACAATTTTTCAGAGCTAGAAAATCGGTCATTAAATCACTCTGAAAGATCATGTCTAAGAACCTGGGGTGGGGGAAGGCCTTATGTTCTGTTGAGTTAATGCTGGATTTGATTTGATTTCCATTATCCATTTGTTTGTTTTTCCTTTTAAGTCATATACTCTTTTTTTAAAGGCACTTTCTATTGTGTTGCCTTTTCTTTCCAAGAAATCACAAAAGTATGCAACAGGAATATGGAAAGCTGTGTCGTTCCAAATCTACATCATTATTATCTGACTGACTCTCCAAGGTTTTTGAAAGGGTCTTTCCCAAAATCACCTGGAGATGACAGGGGTTGAAGCTATTTGTGCTCTGCCACTGAGCTGCAGCTCTTCCCCAGCCACGAGGACTATAAAAAGCTATCTAGTAGGACCAGGCATACCCCAACCCAAATAACAAGAGACCAATGAGACTGGTTTGGGGTCAAAACAGGCCACAACTTGATTGATACGGATGAAAGAGGTTTGGCTTGGGCATGGGGCAATCAAAATACTTCCAGCCCACCTGCCAGAAGGGACGCGTGGTCGATCCAGGTGGGGGCTCCTAAAACTTACATCCAATAGGGTGACCCCCCCACAGGGACCGCCATCTGGGGGAGTGCCTTCAGCCCTGGCCCCCGCCTGGGCACACAGACATAACCATTCCCCCCAGATCCCTTTCATGGGATACCCCAGCGTTTGGAGGGGCAGGCAGAGACTACAACCTCCCCTCCATCCAAAACAAAGGATTGCCCCAATGCCCAACCAGTTGTGATGATTGCTATCCAGTAGGCAAAACCACCAGGTCAGTGCCAATTAGCCCAGTGGGAAAATTCCTACCCGGCCCCTTGAAGGATGGCAACCACTGTAGCCACAGGAAAATCACTGACTATCAGCTTAAACCCAGGGTAGGTGGGCAGGGAAACCCGGCGCAGGAACAAACAGGCTGAGCCCCCAGGTGCTGGCTGCTTAAATGGGCAAGGGGCGGATCTGAGGGAAGCCCACCATTGACTGTGTTGGCTCCGCCCCTGGCACAGTCCAAGCCCTGGCCTGCATCCCCAGGGAGCAGGCCAGGATACAGTTCCTGATGGGCGGGTGGGGCTTATGCCCTCTCCACCAATCTGGAAGGGCACAGCCGGCTTGAATTCCCTCCTCCACCCTGCAATACTGCAGCACGGAAAGGGTGAGCCGCCTTATACGTATCTTTCTCTGCATCAGATGCTCCACCAATGAGGTTACTGGATGAATTGCCCATATAGTTAGTGCTGTGCTCAGGATAGCAGAAGCAGAGTGTATGTTTAAAAGGAAGGAATCATCAGAAATAATAATTCCCCATAATAGTCTGTTGAACAGCATTCATCATCATCTTTGATCTCCTGATGACAGTTTGTTGCTGCTGAAACTACCTTGAGCTGGCAGCTTTCTTGCCAATAAAGTAGCGACAGTCCCTGGTCATTGTTTCACTACCTTTCCTCTTGATTGCCAGCTTTGGACACTCTTATTCATTAAGAAAAATGTCCCTGAGAGCCATCAAAACAAGGGTGCTTTAATTATTCTTATACATTTGGATGCTTTCAGCAAAATAAAGTCTCAGATAGTGAAGGGACTTTGGAATAAAGTAGTCAGCTAAAATAAACCACATTGGAAGAGCAAGTTGGCTAGAGGATTTTTTGGCAATAGGAAACACACACACGTACACAAAATGGGGTGCAATATCTTAGGAACTCTGACAGCCCAGAAACTCCCAAATACATTTCTTGTCTGATATGCCAAATGTCATAAAGCTGCCCCGAAACCCAGTATCCAACCTCTGGCAGTGGCTAGCGCAACTCATGACTGAAGAAATATGTAATAGCCTAAGATTTAAAACCATCTATCAAACGCTTTCGATTGTGTCCATATTTTATTGTTGAAAGGGGATTGTCAGATGAGCCTTTGATCACATTTGATGAAACTTCTTCATATCCCACTGTGTCAGTTCTGCTATGGTGAAGCATTCTGTTTCAGGAGCCAGAATTTAGGGGAATACATAAAGTCAAGAAGCTACATCTGAACTAGTGCAACAAGACTGTTTACATTTTGTCCACCACCTCTCTACCATAGGGAGGGTATAATTTGGTGCTTCGCTTCAGGCATCAAAACGTCTTGGGCCAGCTCCACCATTCGTTTTCTCATTGCTCTGGAATCCTCTTACATCACCAGCTATCATCTCATCCCTGTTCCAGCTGCTGAAGAGACAAGCTGCTTAAACAAAACAAAAAACAAAACTGAACAATGACTTATCTCTTCAGCAGCAAGAACAGAGGCTATGAAAATGACCTGAAAAGATCCTGTGTGATTCCTGCCTTCACAGAACCCTTCTCCTTTGGTCATCCAGCCAGCATGACTTAGAGACGTGGGCATTAGTAGATTCAAAACTTTCCATGCCTCAAGTCCATCTGCTGCTTCCTAGTTACATTATGATGCAGAAATAGTACAGAATCATAATCATTGCTGTCTTTGCTCTTGTGAGCTCTAGGTTTTTTGTGGAGCAGGAGGGGACAGGTAAATGGAAGAAATTTGGCTTAGCACACACATTTAAAGGTGAATCCACTTAACTGAGACTTCCTGAGACTTCCTCACACAAGCCAAACTGCAGTCAATCTCTGAAATTCGTATTCCTCTGAATTCTGCACTACAGTTCTCCAACCGAAACAGGCACTGTCTTGTGAAAATTTGCATATTAGCAGGAATTCACATTAAAATGCTGAAAATGTTCAATGAGTTAGGTTGGTTGGCTGGCTGGCTGGCTAGCTAGTTAGTTAGTTAGTTACCATATTTTTTGCTCTATAAGACTCACTTTTTCCCTCCTAAAAGGTAAGGGGAAATGTGTGTGCGTCTTATGGAGCGAATGCAGGCTGCGCAGCTATCCCAGAAGCCAGAACAGCAAGAGGGATAGCTGCTTTCACTGCACAGCGATCCCTCTTGCTGTTCTGGCTTCTGAGATTCAGAATATTTTTTTTCTTGTTTTCCTCCTCCAAAAGCTAGGTGCATCTTGTGGTCTGGTGCGTCTTATAGAGCGAAAAATACAGTAGTTGGTTAAAAGGCAGAAAAGTGATGCAGAAATGTGAAGAACTGAAGCATTGGGAAAATCAGAAACTGGGAGAAACCAAAATGGGGCATGTTCACGCATCCGTACCTGTGAAAGGAGTCATTCACATCTCATTACCTGCCCCACCTTTGTGCATGCATATTTCTTTGTCATTTTCTTCCAACTTGAATTACTCTTAAGCAATTGTTATGTTTTGCTTCGCTGCTGTTTTCCTTTCCTTTCCTTCCCTTCCCTCCCTCCCTCCCCAGCTTTGTTCTTGAATCTCTCCTGAACTTGAATGGCTCCCCTTTGAGGAAAACACACACACACACAGCCAACTCCCATCCCTGCCATCACCGCCGTTCGGTTCGAATCAGGCTTGCGGTCAGTTTCAGAGAAAGGTCTCGCAATGAGGTAGAACTGACAGATCCGACAGGCGGAGTGATTGATTGTGGTTGGGAAAGTGGTACTTGAAGCATGCCATGTGACAAGCCTACTTCGCTCAGGGGAGACCTGCCAAGTCCTCCTTCCCAGAACTCTGAGCACGTGGGCCCCGGCTGTAATGGGCGGCCGTAGATGCTTAATAATAGCAACATTGTTGCAAACTAAAGCATCTGCCAGGATCTAATATGATTAATTATACAGCTTGCTCGCTCGGCTTTTTTTCTTTTCTTTTCTTCAGGAGGTAGCGGTAACCTAAAACCTGTGTTCTGCGATTTAGGGAAGAAATGGCAAGGCTCTGATTCCTAGGAATGGACGCTCGTAGGTCTGCGATGTGTCTACTCACAGTCAGGAAAGCTCTCCTGGAAGCCTTTTCATCTCCATCCTGCCCAGCCGCTCAGCCAACAATTGCCGTGTGGTGTTCCATTGGCAAATTCCACGCCGTCGCTTAGAAATACATAAAAGGAAGTAGGAAACTGTCAAACAATCTGAGTTATAAATCTGTTAGTGGTGTGGCATGCCAATCAGAGAGGCAGGTTTACTGGGGTTTCAGCGCGTAATTTGTTCCAGATAAGCCATGGGTTTTTTTTTAATTTTATTTTTAAATATCGTAGCAATTACATCACCCCAAACATACCATGTACTCACCCTTTCAATTTTCCACCCTACGGACTGACAGACTGGTTCAGTCTGTGCTGGCTGATATAATGCTTCCTTTATACATGAGAATTCATCTGACTGAGTCCATGATTCTCCAAACCACGTCCTTCAGGGCAACCTTTGCCAGCCTGGTGCCCTGCAGATGTTTTGGACTACAATTCCCATCGGCCCCAGCCAACACGACCATGATGCTGGAGCTGATGGGAGCTATAGTCCAAGAACATCTTCTGGGCATCAAGTTGGCAAAGGCTGCTTCAGAATAATCACGCAGAACACACTGAACTGAACATGGAGAGAAAGGCCTGAGGGCTGGACTCAAGGACTTCAAGCCCACAGAAATTCAACCAGTGAATTTGTTCCCAAATATAAAATTGCAGAAGCCTCCCTTTGGGGAAACAGGCTAACCATAATTGAAAATAATATATTGCTTTGCACACCTCAATTATCCGACTGCTGAGGTTCCAGCACTTACTTTGGGATTTGGTTTCCTTGGAATTGGGTTACTGGAGACTGATTGGTGTTTTGTAATATAAGATTTATTTACACATATATGCCAAAGGAACTTCAGAGGAAGAATACAATGTGAAACAGCTGAATTATAATTCAACAAGAAGTTTGATGTCATCACTTGTGGGTTACATTGAGACATGTTTCACGTAGCTCACCAATGCCAGAATATTTGTGCTATCTAGGACTGTTTCTTGCAAACTGTTCCCTGCCAAACTACAAGTACTGATAAAATCATCCCAGCAGTTATCACCAGCCTGCTACTGCGTAAGGATAAAGGAATACTTAAAGGTATGTCTCATTGCCATTCAACTCCAGTTTTACCATTTATATTCTTATATATCTTCCAAGTAAGATATATTGCACCACCGGAGGCCACCTTTTAATTCTCATTGTCAGCTGGAATTGAACTTCAGGTACCGCTAGGTGTATCCAATGCTAGTTCAACTCAGAGTGGAGCCATTGAAGTCAATGGACATGGCTGATTCAGGTTCAATAGTTCCAACAGGTCTACTTTAAGAAGAACTTAGTTGGCGACAACTAATATGTCCCCGCGGCGGGGTGCGCTCCCGTCGTTCGGTCCCAGCGCCTGCCAACCTAGCAGTTCGAAAGCACCCCCGGGTGCAAGTAGATAAATAGGGACCGCTTACCAGCGGGAAGGTAAACGGCATTCCGTGTGCTGCGCTGGCTCGCCAGATGCAGCTTGTCACGCTGGCCACGTGACCCGGAAGTGTCTGCGGACAGCGCTGGCCCCCGGCCTATAGAGTGAGATGAGCGCACAACCCTAGAGTCTGGCAAGACTGGCCCGTACGGGCAGGGGTACCTTTACCTTTACCTTTAATATAACCACATGTGTCCAGATTCCTTCCTCCCCCCCCCCCTTATTTTCCCATCCATCCATTTAGATTGATAGAAACCTTTGGAGATAGGAACTTGCCCATCTTTCCAACTCCATAGAGCACCCCGTAGGTTGATGGCATCATATGTCATGATAATCAGGGCCGGCCCTACTGTTTGACTGTAATGGTAGGAGTTGGCCCTGATTGGCCCATGAGGTGGACATCTTGATTACTGGATGCTGGGGGTTCTGTATGCCATTCAGCTTGTTGCCCTCTGTTGTGGTGCAGGATTCTGTCCTGTCACCAATAATGACGCCTGGTCGGATTCTGTATGAGGAATCAGAGAATTGTAGAGTTGGAAGGCGACCAAAGGCCATCTATTCAAAACCCCTGGAATGCAGGAATCTCAGCTAAAGCATCCATGACAGATGGCCATCCAAACTCTGCTTAAAAACCTTCAATGAAAGAGAGTCCACAACCTCCCGAGGGAGACTGTTCCACTGTTGAATAGGTCTCACTGTCAGAATGTTCTTCCTGATGTTTAGTCAGACTCTCCTTTTTGTTTATCTGGAAGCCATTGGTTCCCTCTTCCATGTGACAGCCCTTTAGACATTTGAAGATGGCTACCATATCTCCTGGACCATAAAGAAGGCTGATCGCCGAAGAATTGATGCTTTTGAATTATGGTGCTGGAGAAGACTCTTGAGAGTCCCATGGACTGCAAGAAGATCAAACGCATCCATTCTTAAGGAAATCAGCCCTGAGTGCTCACTGGAAGGACAGATCGTGAAGCTGAGGCTCCAGTACTTTGGCCACCTCATGAGAAGAGAAGACTCCCTGGAGAAGACACTGATGCTGGGAAAGATGGAGGGCACAAGGAGAAGGGGGCGACAGAGGACGAGATGGTTGGATAGTGTTTTCGAGGTTACCAGCATGAGTTTGACCAAACTGCGGGAGGTAGTGGAGGACAGAGGTGCCTGGCGTGCTCTGGTCCATGGGGTCACGAAGAGTCAGACACGACTAAACGACTAAACAACAACAACAACCATATCTCCTCTCAGTCTTTCCAGGCACCATGGCACCATCTTGTTGTTTGCTTCAGGCAGCCAATGGCCAGCTCTCAATACAACCACAACATTCATCCCCATCAAGTAGCAAATTCAAAAGCTGTGTAGACAAGATTGGGGATAATACAGGGCCACAGAAAAGCAAGGGAGATATCACCCAAGGGGGGACTATTCATGCTTAGTGGTCACAGAACACTGAGTGTCAGTTGGGAACAAAAACTGAAAATGTGGACAAAGGAATGGAATAGAATAACTTGCAAGGAGGTGTGGCTGGTTGTTGCAAATGGCTTATAGGAGCACTACTGTTAGGAAGTAAGCATATTCTGCAACATTTTCTTGCAGGACTCACTCGTAATAACACAGTTTCCCAGCGCCGAGGGCCTTCTGGCGGTTCCCTCACTGCGAGAAGCCAAGTTACAGGGAACCAGGCAGAGGGCCTTCCCGGTAGTGGCACCCGCCCTGTGGAACACCCTCCCACCAGATGTCAAAGAGAACAACTACCAGACTTTTAGAAGACATCTGAAGGCAGCCCTGTTTAGGGAAGCTTTTAATGTTTGATGCATTACTGTATTTTAATATTTTGTTGGAAGCTGCCCAGAGTGGCTGGGGAAGCCCAGCCAGATGGGCGGAGTATAAATATATTCTTGTTGTTATTATTATTATTATTATTATTATTATTATTATTATTATTAACCCTGCAGCTATGGTCCTACTGTATAATACCCATGAACGCAACAGGGTTGTAGCCACAAACTCCTACTCAGAGGAGACCTATTAAAATTGGTCAGAGTTAAAGGTAAAGGTAAAGGTACCCCTGCCTGTACGGGCCAGTCTTGCCAGACTCTAGGGTTGTGCGCTCATCTCACTCTATAGGCCGGGAGCCAGCGCTGTCCGGAGACACTTCCGGGTCACGTGGCCAGCGTGACAAGCTGCATCTGGCGAGCCAGCGCAGCACACGGAACGCCGTTTACCTTCCCACTGGTAAGCGGTCCCTATTTATCTTCTTGCACCCGAGGGTGCTTTCGAACTGCTAGGTTGGCAGGCGCTGGGACCGAGCAACGGGAGCGCACCCCGCCGCGGGGATTCAAACCGCCAACCCTGCGATCGGCAAGTCCTAGGCGCTGAGGTTTTACCCACAGCGCCACCCGCGTCAGAGTTAAGACCTCTTAATTTCAACAGGTCTACTTTAAGAATGGCTAGCATTGGTTACAGCTCATCATTTGGGGGGTAGGGGTTAGTTTGCTAAAGCCACTTAGCTATGCCTAGCCATGTGAGTGCTCTAACTCATATCAGACACATGCTGAACTCTTAGCTCCACGGCCACTTGACTCAGCTGTGACTTTGAAGGAATTGCTCAGCTTGTGTCTGGACACATACCTGAGAAGCATTCGCAACTCAGACATCTCACAGTGGCTTTGTGGTGTCAGCCATCACTTTGAAATGATTGTGTGTGAACCTCCCTTTGGAGACGTCCCAGCCGCCTAGATTTATGGCAATATTCTCTGCTGCTCTGGGTGCCATTCATGCCTGCTTTCCACTTGTCGGCAACACTCATCAATCTACCTGACCGCTACTTGATTCTATCTCTGCACTGAATTATTCTCCGACAACTTGTGATTGCTTTTCTCCCCACAGCCCTGAAGTATTGCATGCTAGACGGTAAGAACTTGGTAGTATTCATGGCCACCTAAAGTGAATTTTCATTTCCTTGGAAATTCTCTGGTCTCATCAGCACTGTAAAGTCCTACCTCCCATTCCATGGGTTCCTTTCGAAGACAAGCTCCTGCATTGGTTATGTGCAATTTTAGTCCTACTCAGAGTAGACCCATTGAAATGGATGGACATGAGCCGAGTAGGATTTTGCTGGAAACGCGCCAGTTAGCCATGAAAAGAGCCTTCCATTGGCTGCAACTGAAAATTGTTTCCAAGCCTAATTACTGTGGGTGGAGCGATTTGTGTTGAATTGCACAGCACTGCCCATTCACTGTATACTTTACAAAGGTCACCCGACCCTCCCATGGAGAGTCTAGGTAGCTGCAAATCTACCCCATAGTAGGGGCCATAGCTGTCTCTACAGCCACATTTCCCAAAGTTGGAAAAGAGCCTTCTGGAAAAAGCCCAATCAGTTCCAAAGAAAGACAAGAGCTTGCGTCTGCTGACTCCTTTCCCCATAAAAGGGGAAGTATTTGCCAATGTCTCCAATAGAGCAGGGATTCCTGTTTCGTCCTAATAATGGTGGAACCCAGTGAGACCCAATTTTCAAGAGTGTTTTAAATTTGTCTGAATTGCTCATCTTTGATTGTTGTTGTTGTTGTTATGAGTGGGGAGGCCAAAGGGGGAGTGGGAAACCATTTCCGCAGACCCCTGCAACCTAGCATTGAGTCTGCTTATGCATCCTTAACACACAAAGGAGGGCACATATTTGCACAAAATCTGCATATGTCACTTTATACACCTAGATCAGGGGTCTGCAACCCGCGGCTCCGGAGCCACATGTGGCTCTTTTACACCTTTGCCGCGGCTCTGGGGCGGATACTAACGAGGGGAGGAGGCGCATTGTGCGCCCCGACACTCCCCACTGTGGCGGGCGCTGTACTGGCTGTGACGTGCATTAGTCACGCACCGTCCCGACGTCACCTTCCCGCCCGCCCTCCCACTACATTGTAAGGGTCATGTACGCTGGTCACTGCATTGAAAGGGGGCATGTATGCTGGTAGCTGTTTTGAAGGGGAGTGAAGGACACACACACACAAAAAGGTAACTTGTTAATTTAACGTTTATTTCTATGAGGAGGAGTAATTCTGAGGGGTCAAACAAAGAAATAATAAAAAAATGACAAAAAAATTATTTTTATAATGACGAGTTTTGCGACTCCCAGTTCTTTTTTTCTTCGGAAACGAGTCCAAGTGGCTCTTTTTGTCTTAAAGGTTGCAGACCCCTGACCTAGATGCAAATCTGGAAAGAATTACTCAAACAGAAATAGAATTATGTGTCCCCATAGTGGAGTAGACTCTGGCCAGGCTATTTTATTTTTATTTATTAGATTTACATATTGCCCTTCTTCATAAGACATCAGGTCAGTTCACAGAATAACATATAGGATAAAAACAAGTTAATAATTAAAACAAAACAGAAAATGCAGACGCATTTAAAAAGCTGTAGAATATTACAGAATACCCACAGCATAGATTTGAAGCACATTGCGTCCATCATACAATCCTGGGAACTATAGTTTACTCTCAAAGAACTACAATTCCCAGCACTCTTAACAAATGACAGTTCCCCGTGCTTTATAATGTGCTCAGAATTTATGAGACTGAGTGCCACCCAGATGACCTACTGTATGTGCCCGCTCCGTCTGCATTTCAAGTGCATAATCCTTGATGGGCAATTTCTTATGGCTCCTTACGTTTAAACTGGGCTTGGACCAGACAGCCTTCCAAATGGAGGATGCCATGGAGGACTGCCCTTTGTAAAACAGGACACTTGGCCACATAGGCACCAACTCCCTAGAGCCCTGGGTACCCAAACACCCACAAAATTCCCCATGGAGGGGCCGGGCACCCACAAATTTTGGTGCCAGGGCCATGCACGCTGCATGGCACCCACAGCCCCGTGGGACCAACCTGACATTCTGCTTGGCTGCCACAGAAGGCAAAAAGGGGGAAAGTGGGGCTATAAGGTTAAAAAATAATAATCATGGTACCTGTGCTGAAGTTTGAAGGTCTGACTAGTGAGACTTTCTTTCAAGTAAATAGCTCAGAGGCACAACATCTGCTTTTCCTTTATGTCCATCTATTTCGTTTAATAATTTTTATATACCACTTGACTGTAAACAAAAATAGGTAAAGGTACCCCTGCCCGTACGGGCCAGTCTTGATAGACTCTAGGGTTGTGCGCCCATCTCACTCTAGAGGCCGGGGGCCAGCGTTGTCCGGAGACACTTCTGGGTCACGTGGCCAGCGTGACAAAGCTGCATCTGGCGAGCCAGCGCAGCGCAGCACACGGAACGCTGTTTACCTTCCCGCTGGTAAGCGGTCCCTATTTATCTACTTGCACCCGGAGGTGCTTTCGAACTGCTAGGTTGGCAGGCGCTGGGACCGAGCAGCGGGAGCGCACCCCGCCGCGGGGATTCGAACCGCCGACCTTTCGATCAGCAAGCCCTAGGCACTGAGGCTTTTACCCACAGCGCCACCCACGTCCCTGTAAACAAAAATACACACCCTCAAATCCGTTTCCAAACAAAAAAATAAAATTATCAAAAAAAATTCCAAAAATCATTCCATATGATTAAAGACAACAGTAGCAAAAAATAAATACAACACAGGTGACTTCTATCTCCATATCTGGATAGGCTCCAGCAAAAACAAAAAGGTGCCTGCCTGGTGTCAATAAGGCACCAGGGGGTTTCAAGGGTAAGTGCATGCAGAAAGCTCCAGGTTCAATCTTCAGCTTTTCCAGCAAGGGCTGAGAATGCCCCCTGCCTGAAACTCTGCACAGCTGCTGCTGCTACTGCCCATCAGTGTGGTCAATGGAGGGCTAGATGGACCAATGGTCTGGCTAGGGTGGCAGGGGTCAGCAAACTTTTTCAGCAGGGGGCCAGTCCACTGTCCCACAGACCTTGTGGGAGGCCGGACTATATATTTCTTTGGGGGGGGGCGGGAATGAACGAATTCTTATGCCCCACAAATAACCCAGAGAAGCATTTTAAATAAAAGCACACGTTCTGTTCATGTAAAAACACGCTGATTCCTGGACCGTCCATGGGCCGGATTTAGGAGGTGATTGGGCCGGATCCGGGCCCCCGGGCCTTAGTTTGCCTACCTATGGGCTAGGCACAAGGCAGCCTCCTGTGTTCCTGTGCATAGGATGGCCCCATAATGCAGAGACCACAGTAGCTGATTCTAAAGGCCCTCTGTAAAGGCTCCAGTCGTGACCGACTCTGGGGTTGCAGCACTCATCTCACTTTATTGGCCAAGGGAGCCGACGTACAGCTTCTGGGTCATGTGGCCAGCATGACTAAGCCACTTCTGGTAAACCAGAGCAGCGCACGGAAACGCCGTTTACCTTCCCGCTGGAGCGGTACCTATTTATCTACTTGCACTTTGATGTGTTTTCGAACTGCTAGGTTGGCAGGAGCAGGGACTGAACAATGGGAGCTCACCCCGTTGCGGGGATTCGAACCACCGACCTTCTGATCGGCAAGTCCTAGGCTTCGTGCCACCCGCATCCCCTAAAGGCCCTCTAGTGAATCCATATTATGGGATGGGCCTGAGCACAAGTGGCCAGAAGGCTGCTGTTGTAAGCAGGCCTTGCTTGAGGGTTTCCCAAGAGAACAGGATGCTGGTCTGATCCTTCAGAGCTCAGTCTTTTTATGTTCTTAATTTTGAAGCTCACCATTCCACATTCTTAGCTATTTTACCAACAGACTGGCTTCGGAAGAGCATATTTTAGACCCGTGACCTTTCATTTTTTCATTTTCTTTTTTCATGCGGTGCTTATCTCCTGCTTCTCCTCCTGGAAGGAAGCCCAAAACAACTACAGTACCAGCAAAACAAACAGAGAGCAACTCAATAAACACAACATCCGGTTGCCTCCAATGCTAGCGCTACTCAGACCCCTTGAAGTTAATGGACCTGACTAACTGAGGTTCATTAACCTCAATGGGTCTACTCTGAGCTTAGTTGGAAACAACCCATAGAAAGGATGTGCTGAAAATGGCTTGCGAGGCTGCATACGCACCATACTTCAAGCACACGACTTCCCCCAAAAGTGTCCTGGAAACTGCAGTTTACCCCTAGCAGAGTTACAATTCCCAGCACCCTGCACAAAACTACAGTTCCCAGGATACTTCATGGGAAGTCATGTACTTTCAGTGCACAGAGCGTAGGCAGCTCATTAAAGTACTGTACTGTAAGTGCCTTCCCCGCACCCGCTTCTCCAGTGACGAAAGAATATTACATCTTTTTTTGTTCTTCCTGAATTCCCGCCTCCTTTAAAAAAGAAAGAAGGTAAAGCTTAAAAGTCTTTGCTGCTCAGTTAAGTGAAGAAAGGTGAGTGCAATGTTTTCCATAGACACACACCCTTTTCCCCACTGCCTTTCTCCCTACCCCCCCTCCTTTTGAAAGTGTGGGGGGAAGGCAGCCTCGCCCCTGGGTGCAATCCGGCGAGGGCGAGGGCGCAGCGCCCTTTCGCAAACGCAGCTCCTCGGCTCTCCGCGAGGTGCCAAAACGCGAGAGCGAGCGCGATCCCTTTAAGCCCCACATCTTCCCACTAGGCTAAGCTCCCCCCACCGGCCGATCGCCCCTCCCCGAGCTCCTTGGCACGTCCCCGATTGGTGGGCAGGGCCGGTGCCTTTGAAGTGTGCTGCAAGATCGGAGCTATTTGACGTGCGGCTCCGGGAACGGGAAGGGCTTTTTTTTCCCAAAAGAGGTTTTTATTATTTTTATCATTATTATTCTTTCATTAAAGTCTCGCTGGGGCCGGTGCGCTCGTCTTTGCCGCCGCTCCTGCCAGGCGCCCGGGCTTGGGCGCTGCGGAGCTCGCCTCTCCTGCCTCTCCCTCCCCCTCCCCAGCCTGGCCCGACCCCACCCCCGCCCGGCCCGCTCCCCAAATGAGCGCTGGCTCGCCCGCTGGATCTAACGCAAGGACATCGCCCACCAGCAGCGGAGGGAAGAGCGCGGCCGCCGCCACCTTCTCGTCCTCTCCAGCCCAGGCTCCGGGAGCCGCGTGCCCGGCGCTCTCGCACCTGTCCCCGGAGGACCCCCTGCGCCAGGCGAACCGGCTTCCCATCAGGGTGCTGAAGATGCTGAGCGCCCACAGCGGACACCTCTTGCACCCGGAATACCTGCAGCCCCTCTCCTCCACGCCCGTCAGCCCCATCGAGGTCAGTGCCAGCCAGCTCTTTCCTGCTTGCGCTTCTCCCTCTCCGCACACGCCGCTCCCCCGACGGCCGAATTGGGCGACGGGAGGGTCCCCCGGCACCTCCGGGCGCTTCTCACCTGCGTCCCTCCAGAGCTGCGCCCCGCTTCCCTCGCGTCGGTCCGCGGTCCCTTGGGGAGCCCCACCCTGATCTCTCGCCCTGGCTTGGACTAGAAGTCCGTCTGTTCTCCCTCTCTCTGAATTTGTGGAGCCGGACGGGAGAAAATCCTCGCCCGGACTTTCCTTTTAAATAGAGTCCCAAGCAAAGAGAGTTATTTGAGTTCTGTGATTTTAACACAAATTCCGACGGCGGAGGAATCGCTTGTTCGTTCCTCGATCTCCCGGGCCGAACTTTGCGAGGCAAGGTTCGTGGGCTTTGGCAACGATCGTTGCGCGCGCCCGGAGCCTTTGTGGATCAAAGGCGGGTGATCGCGGGATCCATCGGGGTGGGAAGGAGCGGGGGGGGGATAGACAGCGGGTGTGAATCGCCGAGGCTGCTTGTCTCTCGGTTCCTGGGAGAATCTTTCACCCGGGTTCGGACCCTCCATGAGCCGAGCGCCCGTCTGGAGAGTGAACCAACCGGGGCCGGATCTGCTCGTCTGTGGGGTTTGCAGGAGGGGAAACTTCCGTCCGGTTCCGCCGGAGGGAATTTCCGTAAGGGTGGCGCTCCTAAAAAGAAGGGGGGTAGCCTAAAATAGTAGGGGAGTCGGGGCAGGAGTGTTTTTGCAACTAGGGCCGGGAAGGGGGCACCGTTTGCGGGATCTCCGCCGTGCGCCCCGGGGGCCTTTCCGAGTCGTTGCCTGTCCTTTGGGTGGGTGTTGCATTGGGGGTGGGGGCGCAGTTCCTCCCGACGCGTCCAGCTCTGCGTGGTCTAACCAGCCTCTGTCTCCTTCCTTGCCTTGCCTTCCCCAGCTGGACGCCAAGAAAAGCCCTCTGGCGCTGCTGGCGCAAACCTGCTCGCAGATCGGCAAGCCGGACCCTCCGCCCGCCTCCAAACTCAACTCCGGCGCTTCGGCCGGGCTCTCCGGGCCGGACAAGGAGTCCGGGAGCCGCGGCGGCGCCCTCAAGCAGCTTGGCGAGCCGCCGACCGAGGACAAGTCCAGCTTCAAGCCTTATTCCAAAGGCGGCGGAGGCGGCGATCTGCGTAAGGAGGGCGGCGGCGGCGGGCAGCCGAACCAGGCCGGGCCGGGCGCGGAGAAGACGGGCTTCCGCGTGCCCAGCGCCGCCTGCCCTCCTTTCCCTCCGCACGGAGCAGCCGCCGCCACCGCCTCGTCCTCTTCCACCTCCTCCTCCCCGGGCGGCTCGAGGGGCAGCTCTCCGCAGCAGCACGCGGATTGCAAAGGCGCCGACGACAAGAAGGAGATGGATATGTCCGCCAAGGCCAGCCCCGACGGCGCGCAAGGAGCCGGCGGCAGTAGCAGCCGCGCGGGCAGCGGCGCGGGTAGCGCGGAGCCCGGAGCTCATACCGAGGCCTCTTCCGGGCGCAAGTCGGAGCCTCCGGCCCTGAGCGCGGGCCACGTGGCTCCGGTGTCCCCATACAAGCCGGGACACTCGGTGTTTCCTTTGCCGCCCTCCAGCATCGGCTACCACGGCTCCATCGTCGGGGCCTATGCTGGCTACCCGTCCCAGTTTGTGCCCAGCTTGGACCCTACCAAGCCCAGCCTGGTGAGCAGCCAGTTGCCTGGCGCCTTGGGGTTACCGGGCAAGCCCCCCAGCTCCAGCCCTCTGACGGGGGCCTCTCCCCCTTCCTTCATGCAAGGATTATGCCGCGACCCCTATTGCCTGAGCTACCACAGCGCCTCGCATTTGGGCACTAGCAACTGCTCCAGCTGCGTGCACGACCCGGGCAGCCTGAAAAGCGGATATCCCTTGGTGTACCCCACACACCCTCTGCACACCACCCTCTCCAGCGCCACACCCAGCCTGCCGGGCCACCCGCTCTACACGTACGGCTTCATGCTCCAGAACGACACCCTTCCCCACATATGCAACTGGGTGTCTGCCAGCGGACCCTGCGACAAGAGGTTTGCCACCTCGGAGGAACTGCTGGCCCACTTACGGACCCACACGACACTGCCAGGGGCAGAAAAACTCCTGGCTGGCTACCCTACCTCTGGGCTGGGGTCCGCGGCATCTTGCCACCTGCATCTCCCACCCACCGGCCCCGGGAGCCCCAGCTCCTTCTCTTTGAGAAGCCCGCACACTTTGGGACTAAACCGGTACCACCCTTACGGCAAGAGCCACTTGCCCACGGCCGGGGCGTTGCCGGTGCCCTCTTTGCCTGCAGCTGGACCTTACTACTCTCCATATGCCCTTTATGGCCAAAGACTAACCTCAGCCTCTGCACTTGGATATCAGTAACTACAATTGTCTGCCGCCTCTCCCTCTTCTTTTCCTGCCCTCGTCCTGGGACTATGTATTTATTTACTGTATGTTAGCTTAAAGCTGGGAATTATAAGTGCATTAATACGCCAATGAATCAATGGTATGCAAAAAGTCTGTGTCCCCCCCTCCCAAAAAAATAATATTGATTATAACAGTACCCAACCTAAATCTCTCTCTCTCTTTTTGCTTGTGTGGGGGCTCTTAATTGTGTTTTCTTTTATCTTTCTTTTAACCCCCTATAATTTTCTTTTTTTAAAAAAAAATCTCTTTGATCCCCCATAAACCATTTGCATGATTCTCAACAAAATGCACCCCTCCCTCCTTTGTCCCCCCCTCTTTTCTTTTTTAAAAGGAAATAGTTTCCCCCCCTTTTGTACAGCTATCAGAAATGTAATTATATTTTTTTTGTCCTTTTGTGTATTGTGTTCTAAGGAAAGGGGCGGCGGGAGGTCAGCTGGGAGATGTTCTGTGGCTTTGTTCTAGCTGCAGGATGGCAAGAGCATCACTTGCCATGCGGTGGTGAGATGCACTTTGCTGATGGGTTGTGAGCAAGGAAGGACCCCAGCCTCTGCCGCCGGCTTTGGTTCTGAGGACTACTCCATCTTAAGTCAGGTGCCCTCTCTCTTCTCCATAAAGTCAGGTGCTCTGAGCTTTGAGAGTTGGTGGGTGCCCTGTATGGAGGCAAGGGCTGATGTGCCAGTTATCCTGGTGCTTGGATGTTGCTGATGATACTTGAAGCCCAGAAAGTGCGCTGAACAAGTTGATCCATCACAGGGACACCTACCACAATTTTTTTGAGGTGGCTCTTCTTTTGTTTATTTTGGTGTTTTGTTTTTTTTTAAAGACCTGGATTTAAATAAAATTGGCAAGCACCCTCGAGGGACTGGAACTGAAGACCTATTTTTCCCCAACCTGCACCAAATGAAGAACTCAAAATAACTTTTGCTTAGCCTAGTACAAGCTGGATCCTTATAAAGAGTCCGGCTAGCCCCAAGGGGCCAGTTGCATCCTCAACTGCAGGCTCAAATCTACATACCAAAAAAAAACCATTCAATCCTCCCTAATCCCCCAATTTATCTTGACCTATGGGAATGGAACTGTCATTAGGTTGTGGAGCCCCACCCCCACCCCCCATCCCCAGTCTTAACGCAGCGCGGAAGGCTGCGGATCATTTTGGGTGATAAGAGCTCCATCCTGGTAAGTCTTATTTTGTTAATAAATGAATACTTGGCTATATCTACCCTGTAGTTTGTGCTGTCTTGCATTCTCCCTTCGGCTGCCTGTGTGTTGTGCGCATTCTTTCCGTATGAACCGCAGCACCAAAACAAAAGTGTGTGGGGGGAACCCCTCTAGTGAATGACCTATGCCCTTTTTAGGACACATTAAAGATTAGCAAGAATATGAAGGTGAGGATTTAGTTTGGGGATTTAGCACGGTGGTAGAGCATCGGTCTTGCATGCAAGTGGTCCCTGGTTCAACTCCTGGCATCTCAAGGTAGGGCAGGACAGATCCGCTGTCTGACACCCTGGAGAGCCACTGCCATGTCACTGGAGACGATACTGATTTGGAAGGATCAAAGGTCTGCTCAATACAAAGCAGCTACCCATGCTCCTAATTTCCAAGGCATTAGCAGCTGAAGGTTTTTCTTTCTCGTGCAGGAGGAGGCATTCTTGTTCTCTGCCTCCCCAGGTAGGAACAATGAGGTGGTATAGTCCTGAATTTGTAGGGTAGACTGTATCCTTTCAGGCTGGAAGGGGGTCACCTTTTTCACTTCAGAAAATAACCTGCCAGCAAGCGGCACAATAGGCACCAGGCTGAGCTCGCTTCTTTCTCCTTGATATGCCAGCATTTGCAGCAGCAGCAGCATCTTTTCCCCCCCGGAGCATCACCTCCGCACACCTGTCACCTGTTCCTTACGGCCCTTTCTGCCGCTTGATTCTGCTGCATGTTGTAGACTGCTTCAGCTTCCCTCCAAAGTGTTTCCTCAAGATGCCTCCGCGAATGAGTCCTCGTTATAGGAAATCTGCAAACTGAAGGACTGTGTCAGGAGTCTTCACAAAAAGCAAAGCGGAGGCGAGTCGGCGGCGTAATTTTCTAGCCTGCCTGGGAGAAGGATCACCGAAAGGCTGCAGCGCCATCTAGTGGTAGAGAAAAATCCAGCTGATTGTGTGTCTTGGTACGAACGCCGGTTACGTAGCGACAAGCGCACCTTCGGCCGCCTTAATGACGATTACTTTCCCTTGCAAATCTGCCGAAAGATGCAAAACACGAAGGGCAATTGCCTCGCGCTATCATCTGATTTTACTCAAATTCCCAGAAGGTCTTCCATCGCTCAGCCTCTTGGGTGGCCTTTCAAACTTGGGGGTGGCTCCCCCCCCCACTTTCTCCTTTTGCAAAACAGTGCTGCATAAGCTTTGCAAACCAGCTGCTCTGGGCAGCAATATTTGGGGGCGCCGTTTCCATATTTCGGTCTGTGAAGAGCCGGCAGACATCCGTAGTTGAATTTTGCAGCTGAGGTCTCGAAAGGTGCGCTTGGCGAAATTTGCTCCTGGGCTGGGCTCCTAGACATACTATTCTCCTGGTAGCAGTGGACCCAAAGTAGCATGGAATTTGAGTCAGGTGGGAATGCTGGTGAATTGAGTAAGCTTGGTTTGGCTTTCCTTGTGGTTGTTCCATTTCCACTGTACCTGCATTTCATTACCCTCCATGATACTAGTTGGCATATCCATGTCCTCTATTTAAAATCTGGTGGGGGGCTTCTAGTGTTAGGCCTGCTCATTAATGTTAGACCCATTGAAGTTAATGGCCCCAACTAACTGAAGTCTGCTCTGTGGATCTGCTCTGATTTAGTAGGATTTAGTTGGGTGCAACCCCAAGTCTCAGTCCAGTTCATTGTGGGAACAGAAGGGCATAACAGAAAGCCTCCCCCCACAGTGCAGGGGCACAGGAAGCTTGTATATGCTTTCCATATCTCCATCCTGCTCTGAACTCACATTCCATGATGGAACATAGTGAGGAAAGAAAGGTCAGGATATGCTCCCCCAAAATGTCCTGACACTCTTGAATTGTGCCAAGGAGGAGAAAAGGAGCTCTGCATGTTGCAGAGTGCGTTAACTATGTTGTTGTTGTTTAGTCGTTTAGTCGTGTCCGACTCTTCGTGACCCCATGGACCAGAGCACGTCCTCCACTACCTCCCGCAGTTTGGTCAAACTCATGCTGGTAACCTCGAAAACACTATCCAACCATCTCGTCCTCTGTCGCCCCCTTCTCCTTGTGCCCTCCATCTTTCCCAGCATCAGTGTCTTCTCCAGGGAGTCTTCTCTTCTCATGAGGTGGCCAAAGTACTGGAGCCTCAGCTTCACGATCTGTCCTTCCAGTGAGCACTCAGGGCTGATTTCCTTAAGAATGGATGCGTTTGATCTTCTTGCAGTCCATGGGATTCTCAAGAGTCTTCTCCAGCACCATAATTCAAAAGCATCAATTCTTCGGCGATCAGCCTTCTTTATGGTCCAGCTCTCACTTCCATACATCACTACTGGGAAAACCATGGCTTTAACTATACGGACCTTTGTTGCATTAACTATGGTACCCCTGCCCGTACGGGCCAGTCTTGCCAGACTCTAGGGTTGTGCGCTCATCTCACTCTATAGGCCGGGAGCCATTGCTGTCCACAGACACTTCCGGGTCACGTGGCCAGCGTGACATCGCTGCTCTGGCAAGCCAGCGCAGCACACGGAACACCGTTTACCTTCCCGCTAGTAAGCGGTCCCTATTTATCTACTTGCACCCGAAGGTGCTTTCGAACTGCTAGGTTGGCAGGCGTGCATTAACTATACTGCACATTAAATCGAGCGGCTTCACTGCTGTTTGTCCTGTTCACCTGCTGAGGCTGCAGGACACTTAGTAGAGTCTCTGTCTGTGTGCACACCATGTCTTTAAGGCACCTCCCCGCAGGAATCCTGGGAACTTTAGTTTGCCCCCACAGAGCTACAATTTTCAGCAGCCTTAACAAACTACAGCTGCCCGGATTATTGGGCTTTGAATGTGCTTTAAACGTATGGTGTGTTCACAACCTCCATCTTTTCCCTATTTAGCCAGCTGGCAGCTACAGACCACATCCCAATGGGGTAGCTAAGCTCTGACACCAGGCACAGCTTCTCTCTCCTTCAGTGAGACAATTGTCCATCATTAATGCAGGGATTCTGTTAATAGGTGAAGGGTTTTTGTTTACTCGGCCTAGTCAGTTTTCATCGGTTTTTAATGCTCTTTGGCACATTGTCTTGCAATTTTTTGTTTTCTAAGCTGATTGGTGAGTCAGAAAGCCACCTAGCTTTTTAAAACTCATGCATTGGTGTTGAGATATACAAGCCTTATGCAAGTAGTTGCATATATCTATCCTTCCATCACCACCATCCCAAATCACTTTCTTGAATGCTTGTAGTGGAGTTCCTATGCACTAAAAACTGAAACTTGGCTTCCAAGTCCAAAAGATATGAATTGAGATATTGTCGACAGGCATGATGTTCCTTTTCTTCAGTGGCTAGTATAAATGAAAGACAGGTGCTGAGCTAAGCTTGTGTAGAACTACAACCTCTGAGCTGAGTTCAGTTCCAAACTGTGGCTACAGGGGACCTGGTGTCGAATTGAGATAGAATTTTAAAATTTCAGTCATTGCTTTTGCCCTTACAACAGGCCTGCAAGGTAGGACATGGTTCAATCTGTTAGGTGAAGGATTTGCGGCCGGCATGTGGGGATTTGCTCAGCGCCACAAAGCTACCTGTTTGTGGCATCATTGCTGTCAGAAAGGCAGGCTTGAAGGCTCATCCTTTCACATAGGAAGCCGTTTGTGAGGAACGACTCCTACATACCATGTTGGTGAAATCCTCTTCCTCGCTCGAAACCATGTGACTTGCCGGGCAGAAAGACTTTCTGTCTTCTCCGTCAGGAACTGTGCTGCCGCCAGAGTCATGTGTGAAGCAAGCCTACTGAATCAAGGGCAGAGATGGAGGAGCCAAACCAGCTCTCGTCCCTCATCATTTCAGGCAGGACTAAGTTATTTTTGAGAGATAAAATCTGGTTTCAAGCTGAAGCTGATCGTGTCTTGCTTTGTTTTCACTGTGTCTTTCTGAATTAACAGAATCTTTGCATAGCAGTTCCGAGGGAATGAGAGCAAAACCGCAGGGATGCCTGGAAACCCATTTCTAGTTCTGTGAAATATCAATTGGATAGGGTTGTAGGAACCTGCCTTACACTGAATCTGGAAGTGGCTCTCCAGGGTTTTGGGCAGGGAACTCTAGCAGAAGATGCCGGATATCAAAGTGGGAGCCTTCTGCATACAAAGCAGGTGCCCTCGCACAGAGCGATAGCCCTTCCTCTATATGGCTGAATGGGAGCGCTGAGCACTGAAAGGCTATTTGGCTCTTTGGGGCTCCACTTTAAGTGCTCCAGGGAAGCCGAAACAGATTAGTATCTAGGAGGAGATGTATGCTTTAACTATAATAGAGTTTTGAGATAATATAGGCCAAGATCTCCAAAGGACACAAACATACCAAGAGGTTAAAAACACTTCATAGGAAATTGGAGCTTTGCTGTTGTGGGCTTATAGATGTCAAATGGCAAACTGTTTGCGAACAGGAATACCATTCCCACTGTTCTTCAGCGTCATCTCTGGGATGGCAAATAAGGTTATTGCCTCCATTCTGAAAGGAAAATACAGAAACACGTTCCTATGTGGAGCAGTAGTCTGCAAGCTTTGGGGGGCAGTGGGGAGTCTCTCCTTTTTCTGATGAGTTGGTTGCATCCTGTTCTATCACTCGGGTTAGTTTTTGCTTGCTTGTTCTGGGGTACCAGGATTTAATTTGCTATAAATAACCTTTTGCCATAGTAGTATTGTTGCTGCTCCTTTTCTTCTTCTTTGTTTACCTCTGACATGCTACGAAGCTGTAAAAACAAGTTGCTCCAAGACCATGAAACTAGAAATGATATCAAGTAGCATTTCCTTCAAACACAAAATTGCAAGTGTGGAGGGTTAGGGTTTCAGTGCATAGGCACCTGTTTGGCCACCGTGTAAGAACAGGATGCTGGACTTGATGGGACTTTGACTTGATCCAGCAACTAGGCTCTTCTTGCGTTCTTTTGTAGGTGTGCCTTGTGCATCAGCTTTTCACATATTTGATGTCACAGTCCAAAGAGGAAGTTGTTTGGGTGAGCTATACTTGCAGCTCCTTGGGCAAATATCTT